GACAGCTATACATTTCTGAGAGTAAAGATGATTAAACTTGTTTCCATGGCTAACTAAGTGAAATTGTTTAAAAATTATAAGAATTGGCTATAACTAGTAATTTTTCAAAAAAAAAACATATTACAGCTTATATCGCTGAAAAGCTTGAAAAATGGCGCTTTTTATGAAGTCATGGCCAACAGTTGGCCATTACACAACCAGTTACTGGTTTCCATTTAAAAAAATATATGTTTCTGTCATATCTCAAAAATGACAGGCTTGAGAAAAAAACGGAGGATATAATCGCATTAAGGATCTACAACTTTCATCTGAAAACTTTTTGTCTAAAATAGATTATAATGGAATTAGAGACAATTTTTAAAATAGCCAAAATTTGTTTTTTTCGAAATATTTAGTAAGCCATGAACTTTTTCAAAAATCTGAAAGGCGCATATTTATGACCCCACAAAACTGCAATTCTTTCCCCATTTAACCGAGTCTCTATCTTCAGTAGTTTCCGAAATACCCATAGAGAACATCGTAGGAAACTCACCCTGTATAATAAAAAACGGGGGTACCCATTTGAAATAAAAATGTTGCTTGATGAATGTTGCATAAAAATAAAATCGACTTCCGGTGTTTCCGGAAGCGCCGCCATATTGAAAATATTTCTAATTGATAGATCTCATTGTGAAACAATGATGTGCAAAAAATCTTCGATCTAGATATTGTAGTTCTCTAGAAATTTGTAATGCACGCTCAGCCTGGGACACCCTGTAGACGTGTGGGTTTTACTATTATGTTTTTGATAAAAATTGAGCTCCAGACACCGATATTAGTTTTTGTCTCCAAAGGGGAATTTGTCTTTAAAAGTGTCTCAATTTGGCTCACCCTATACACGAGGTGACTCAGTAGCACTATCTGTACACCTCCGGATGTTTTTTCATCAAGTGTAGCTTCAGAACGTTGTTCCTGTACGCCTTGTACGAACAGAACTGACAGCAAAACTGAGGTTCCATTCCGCATTCGTACTTCTGATGTCTCTTCAAGTTTTTGTAGTGCGAATATCCCTTACCGCAACGATTGCAAACAAAATATTCTTTCGTTTCATTCACACAGTATGGCTTGTGCGAGAGATAGTCATCTTTGGACTTGAAAACGTTGTCGCATCTGCTGCACACGTACATGTTAGAAAAAATACCTAAAAATAAAAAATGCTACAGAAACGTTAAAAAAATTGTTAGTTTTACTGTTAAGTCTTGTTAGTTTGGACAATTTTTTTGGTAAATATTCGTAAAAATAAGCTTAAAAAATACCCTGCCCAAAACATGTGTTCCAATGAAAGCTACAAATCAAAGGTTTTCTATTGTGACATTTCTGTTTTTCACACACAATTTGTTTTTTCTACGACTAGCCTAAAAAATGCAGTTTGACACACGGAAAACTCGATCTGAAATTGGCGTTACAGCGATTTGTTAATAATGCATATTTTTGAAAAACATCCCGTAAATCCGAAACGGTTACAGATATCGATATGCGGTTTTCACCATCATGTTTTTGATAAAAATTGAGCTCCAGACACCGATATTAGTTTTTGTCTATCTCCTATAAAAAAGGGTGTCTCCATTTAAAAGCCTCGAATTTGACACACCCTGTACACTCGTTCGGCTTGTGGCTCTTGCCTGCGGCTCGAGCCAACAAACTGTCGAACTCGTGAGCAAAACGTCGTTTTCGAAACTCGTTGTTTAATATACTATATCGTCATTTTATACAACTGACATTTTATATTTCCTGATATTGTCATTCGTTTTAACACTTTAGTTTTGTATTACGAGTTTTTGGATTAAATTAATTGTGTTGTTATACTTTAAGCTTAAAAATTATTATACTGGCAGACATTGTAGTCGAACGTTGCTCTTTTTAGAACCTCTTTTAGTTCACTGTAAGTGTACAAGGTAGTTTAATAGCCGTTGTAAAAAAGTCATCACAACCTCGTTAGAATATTCTGAACGGGAAAGCGGTAGTAATGGTCCTTTGTATCTCTTAAGAGCTGTTAAGTTAACAAAACTCACCGCTTTTGTTGATGTAAGCAATAACTTTTTATATATTTATAATTAATTTATTTTTGTTTCCTAAACTATTTTGATTAAAAGAAAATATGTAAAAGTCAAGCTTAATCACGTGACTAAAGGTTTATTTGCTATGATCTTTAGTTGTTGAAGATGAATTATCAATAGATTCGAATAATTGTTGATTGACATGGAAAATATGGAATGACATGTTGATTAAGAATGTCAGTTGCTAGGGGGCAAAGTACCCCCAGGTGAGTTCCAGTATTTAATTATGAATTTTATCCAAATTAGTACATGTTTTTGTTGTTATTTTCATGTATAACGAGTCTGCTTACCATTTTTTTTTGAGTAAGCTCCAGAAATATTCATATTCAACTTTTTCATCGTTTTTTATTTATTTTTCTAATTCCTACATTTCAGGTTTTTAACACTCTCAATAGGTAATCTTATAAGTATCGCACTAACTATCTCTTAAAAAAAAATATCTGTTCATTAATTACTTAGGCTGGAAACTGCGAGTTTTGAAAAACTGTGTTTAATAATAATGTAGAATAAAAAAAGAGCCATTAAAAACATTTCTGCTTTATTTTAAGAAAAAAAAACAAATAAAATAACAAAGTGAACTTTTCACCTTTTAATAATTATAAATATTAAAAAATTTAATTTATTATAAATATAAAAAAATAATACTAGAAAAATCTATTATAACATAATAGGTATCGTAAATAATTTAATCATCTAAACAATTAATTTTCAAACTGGCTAAATTACTGCCGGCCGGCGGTATGGACACATGACGAAAGAAATACCGCCATTTTTGATGGTTTTACATATTTATTACATTAATTCCCAAAGTAAATTCCGCCATTAATTACTGTTGACAAGATAAAACTACTGCCGGCGGTATAAAAAATTGAAAAAAGGAATACGGCCGTTTTAGATAGTTTTACATATTTATTACATTAATACCGCTAAAGAACGGGGTAAATTGTAATAAAGAAGGGCGGTTGGTGCTAAATATATAAAGAATACCGGCAGTATACCTTTTTAAATAACATAAATACAGCCATTATTTTATCAAATTTTATGTGTTATGGTTTTTCCGAAAGTAAATTCCGCGATTAATTACTGTTCACAAGATAAAATTACTGCTGGCGGTATAGAAATTTGACGAAAGAAATACCGCCGTTTTAGATAGTTTTACATATTTATTACATTAATACCGCTAAAGAACGGGGTAAATTGTAATAAAGAAGGGCGGTTGGTGCTAAATATATAAAGAATACCGGCAGTATACCTTTTTAAATAACATAAATACAGCCATTATTTTATCAAATTTTATGTGTTATGGTTTTTCCCAAAGTAAATTCCGCGATTAATTACTGTTCACAAGATAAAATTACTGCTGGCGGTATAGAAATTTGACGAAAGAAATACCGCCATTTTAGATGGTTTTACATATTTTTTACATTAACACCGCTAAAGAACGGGGTAAATTGTAATAAAGTAGGGCGGTTGATGCTAAATATATGAAGAATACCGGCGGTATACCTTTTTAAATAACATAAATACCGCAATTATTTTATCAAATTTTATGCGTTATTGTTTTTCTCAAAGTAAATTCCGCGATTAATTACTGTTGACAACATAAAATTGCTGCCAGCGGTATAGAAAGTTGACGAATGAAATACCGTCGTTTTAGATGGTTTTACATATTTGTTACATAATACCGCTAAAGAACGGGGTAAATTGTAATAAAGTTGGGCGGTTGGTGCTAAATATATAAAGAATACTGGCGGTATACCTTTTTAAATGACATAAATACCGCCACTATTTTAACAAATTTTATGTGTTGTTGTTTTTCACAAAGTAAATTCCGCGATTAATTACTGTTATCAAGATAAAATTACTGCCGGCGGTATAGAAAATTGACGAAAGAAATACCGCCGTTTTAGATGGTTTTTCATATTTATTACATTAATACCGCTAAAGAACGGGGTAAATTGTAATAAAGTAGGACGGTTGGTGCTAAATATATAAAGAATATCGGCGGTATACCTTTTTAAATAACATAAATACCGCCATTATTTTATCAAATTTTATGTGTTGTTGTTTTTCACAAAGTAAATTCCGCGATTAATTACTGTTATCAAGATAAAATTACTGCCGGCGGTATAAAAAATTGACGAAAGAAATACCGTCATTTTAGATGGTTCTACATATTTATTACATTAATACCGCTAAAGAACTGGGTAAATTGTAATAAAGTAGGGCAGTTGGTGCTAAATATATAAAGAATACCGGCGGTATACCTTTTTAAATAACCTAAATACTGCCATTATTGTATCAAATTTTATGTATTATTGTTTTTCCCAAAGCAAATTCCTCGATTAATTACTGTTGACAAGATAAAATTATTGCCGGCGGTATAAAAAATTGACAAAAGAAATACCGCCATTTTAGATGGTTTTACATATTTATTACATTAATACCGCTAAAGAACGGGGTAAATTGTAATAAAATAGGGCGGTGTTCGTGCTAAATATCTAAAAAATACCGGCGGTATACCTTTTTAAATATTATAATTTTATCAAATTTTATGTGTTTTCTTTTTATGTGGGACGGCTTTTGTCTTGCCGGTTGAGTTTATACCGCCGTCAACGACAACTTAATCCAATTTTCTACCGGCATTTATAGATATAGAAATATTATACCGCCGGATTACGGTATCTCTTTCTATACACGAACAATACCGCCGGCGGTTGTTTAGCCTGTGTAATTATTTTTTGTTATAAAAATTGGAGGTATGTATAAATATTAATCCTAATCTGCTTAAATTGATTACAAAAAAACAATAACTACCACTAGTTCATAAAAAAAACGATGTGTGATTTTTGGCGGATAATTAGTCTAAAGTTCTAAACTTAGACTTGTTTCATTAGTTTTGTTTCACGAGTTCCTTCCTATGAAATGTAAAGCTATGTGTCTTTTCAGATTGTCTGATCTGTGACTCCTGTGATGACAGTGAGGACATTGGTATGGTTTATCTCTACCGCATTCACGCCTGTGCCTACACAAACTCTCCGGATTTTTGTAGCTCCTTCCACAATGACAAGAATACCTTTTTCCTAAAACATATAACACTATCATTAAGTCAATCATAAAAAATTAAAATACAATCATTATTATTTTTATTTGGTTCTTAATACAAAAGAAAGTTAAACAAATACATTCATAAGAATATAATTATTACAGGATATAATAATTATTCCAAACCAAATTTAGTTGTATCTTCTTGTTTCACGACTTTCTTCCAGTGTACGGTGGTTATGTGCATTTTAAGATTTCCCTTTCTGTTACTTGTTCGAGAGCAATAAGGGCACTGGAACTGGAATTGTTCTTCTCTACCGCACTCGCGTCTGTGGCGACGGAAACACCGCATAGTGTTGTATTTTCTTCCACATTGACAAGAAAACTTTTCTAAAATATTTATTTACGTATAATTTTCCTATAGTAAATAAAAGTTTATTGCCCAACAGGTTAATACCCAAACAAAAGACAATTAAAAATAAATATAAATTCAAAAGTAAAAATAAAAACAATAAATATTTCTTGAAATTTGTCAAAGAGCATTGTAAGCAATGAATAAATTCTCACGAGTCTTTGAACGAACGAGTCGTATTGTGATCCGATTCAATTCCTACGACTCTTTTTTACTACTTCTTCGTTCAAATTTTATGGATCCGTGCTGGCCACAAGATTTAACGAACAATACTGTAAGCAATGAATCAATTCTCACGATTCTTTGAACAAACAGGTCGCATTGTGATCCGATTCAATTCCTACGATTCTTTTCTACGACTCGTTCGTTCAAATTTTATGGATCCGTGTTGGCCACGATTCACTTCAACGAAATAGTTATAGAAACGAACGAGTCGCATTCTGTTCCAATTCAATTCTTATGACTCTTTTTTACTACTTGTTCGCATTGAGTCGCATTGTGATCAGATTCAATTCTTACGATTCTTTTTTACTACTCGTTCGTTCAAATTTTATGGATCCGTGTTGGTAACGATTCAATTTAACGAACTAGCCATAGAAACGAACGAATCACATTTAGATCAATTCAATTCTTATGACTCTTTTTTACTACTTGTTCGCATTGAATCGCATTGTGATCAGATTCAATTCTTACGATTCTTTTTTTACGACTCGTTAGTTCAAATTTTATGAATCCATGTTAATAACGATTTAATTTAACGAACTAGCCATAGAAACGAACGAATTGCATTCAGATCAATTCAATTCTTACGACTCTCTTTTACTACTTGTTCGCATTGAGTCGCATTGTGATCAGATTCAATTCTTACGATTCTTTTTTAAGACTCGTTCGTTCAAAGTTTATGGATCCGTGTTGGTAACGATTCAATTTAACGAACTAGCCATAGAAACGAACGAATCGCATTCAGATCAATTCAATTCTTATGACTCTTTTTTACTACTTGTTCGCATTGAGTCGCATTGTGATCAGATTCAATTCTTACGATTCTTTTTTTACGACTCGTTAGTTCAAATTTTATGAATCAATTTTAGTAACGATTTAATTTAACGAACTAGACATAGAAACGAACGAATCGCATTCAGATCAATTCAATTCTTACGACACTTTTTTACTACTTGTTCGCATTGAGTCGCATTGTGATCAGATTCAATTCTTGCGATTCTTTTTTACGACTCGTTCGTTCAAATTTTATGGATCCGTGCTGGACACAAGATTTAAAGAACAGTATTGTAAGCAATGAATCAATTCTCACGATTATTTGAAAAAACGAGTCGCATTGTCATCAGATTCAATTCTTACGATTCTTTTTTTCCTACTTTAAATTAAATTAATGGACCCGTGGGTTTAAATTTTATGGACCCGTGTTGGTAATGATTCAATTTAACGAACTAGCCATAGAAACGAACGAGTCGCATTCTGATCCAATTCAATTCTTACGACTCGTTCGTTTACACGTGCACACGTGCTGGACGTTACACACGTGCTGGACACGATTCAATTGTACGAATCGTATTCTAAGCGGTGAATCGAATCTAAAGATTCATTTTTAATACTCGTTCAGATGAACGACTCGTTCAATCTTTGTCAACCTCTACTGCTTTATCACGCTGTAAGATAAAATATACAATATAGTTAGCAGTTTAAACCTCAAAAATTGGTGGGCTAAATAATTTTAATCGTGAAATACCCAATTTATGAACTAAGTTCAACGATAAGAAGCCATGGAACAACCTATTAAACCTGACCTCACCCTGAACCGAGTGAGTATAAATAACGGGAATTAAATTTTTCCTCAAAAAAGTAAATGAAATAAAAATCCAAAATTATGTCACATAAAACTTTATTTCACACAGTCAAAAAAATTCTTATAGAAATAAAAGTCTTAAATCTAATCATAGCACATGAGCATCAAGAACGTAACCTTTTCTTTATATAATTAACAACTTATTGCAAAATATCTAAAAGTAATAATATTCTAAAACACATCTAAGGATAATTTCTAATATAAATATATATTTATTAGACTTGATAATATGGCTAGACGCGACCTAAATAAAAAAGAAACGTTTATTTTTCCGTATAGGGTGTGTCGATCCATATTTGTAGTAGCTACATTGTAAATAGTTATTCATGTCTTTATATGATTGTTATTCAACCCTATAAATTTATATCTAATAAATTGTATTTTCTATATGACAAATAAGGAGAAGGGCTAGGTTCATTTCGCAACCAAAAGTTAAAGATGGCGGCCATTTTATAAACGGTCGCCATCTTGGATTTTTGGTATAGAACGAACATAGCCCTTCTACTCAAACAATATTGGCAACGTTTCAGATAAGTATCTACACTTAAATCGATAAAAATAAATAAAATAAATAAATAAATACAGGCAGTCCTTTAAGTTGCATGAGATTCGTGACTTCAGTTCTTTAAACAATGGGCATACATACTGGATATGTATATTTTTTTATAGATTTCTTAGACAATCGGTATAATACACAGTGTATAAACGAATGTTTCGAAAAAGATACATATTAAGTCTCTTAATTGAGATCTTCACTCCAAATTTTTATGTAAAATAGTAGCCTGAAATAGTGGTGAATTATTATTAAATACAGAGTGAGCCATTTAAAAAAAAAAAAATTTTTTTATTTTTAAATTGTTAACAGTCGAAATTCATAAATTTGTTTTGAACACGCTGTACCATCTAACTTAAATACATTTGCATAATACAGGGTGGTCCGAATTGTATTCCGGAAACTTCGGCAGCATATTCTGCATATAAAAATAAGTAAAAAACTTCGTATAAATGTATGTCCTAAAATGTTAGTTTCGCAGATACAGGGCGTAGGAATTTCATATTTATTTCGATTTTTTCCAAATAACTTCTGAAGTAACGTTAATATTTAGATGAAAATTGGTGTTCGGGAGCTTTTTAAACATGAGAAATTTGATTTTGATGTCAATGTGACTCCTATTTGTAGAGGGCGCTACCTACATGTGTTTTAACAGTTTTGAAGAGAGAGAATATCTTTTCGTCCGTACCTGAATAAAACTACTGAGTGAAAAAATAAACATTCCCGTGTTTTTTTTACGTAAAAAATGGCTCTTGGTTGTGATATTGCTGTGCTCTTGCTCTCAAGATATTTAGAATGGAAATAGTCAATACATGTCATTATTGACAAAAACATAAACATGTGTTGAGTAGATAGTTATTTGACAAATGATTAATTTGGGAATTTTGTATTTTTTTAAATTAATCATAATTTTTTTTCGAAAAAACGATGAAAAAAACAGTTTCTGTTCAACTTTTGGTACAAAAACATTTTATGATTTCAGTCAAGTTATGATTTCAGTCTAATAACTATTTAGTCAACATGTTTAATTTATGTCAATGATGAGATGTATTGATAATTTCGAGTCCAAATATCTCGAGAACCATTACTCTTAGCGATTTTTACGAGAGAAGAGACCTTTTTTACGTAAAAAATATCGTGAATGTATATTTTTTTACTCAGTAGTTTTATACAGGTAGGGACAAAAAGTTATTACTCTTCAAACCAGTTTAAAAGTATGTAGGTGGCGCCCTCTACATGTAGGAGTAATATCGACATCAAAATTTCTCATGTCAAAAAACTCCTAGACACTAATTTTCATCTAAATATTGACGTTACTTCAGAAATAATTTGGAAAAAATCGAAATAAAAATGAAACTTGTACACCCTATATCTCCGAAACTAAGTATTTTAGGACATACATTTACACGAACTTTTTTACTTATTTTTATCTGCAAAATACGCGGCCAGAATACATTTCGGACCACCCTGTATATTTTTTTCTACCCCATAAAATTCTTTCACCAAATTTGAGTACTTCACCTTTAGAAACAAAAAGAGGCTATAGTCAGGGAAAACATCCAAAAAATGACAGAAAATGCGATTTGCATGTGAATTAAAGTGGCATACACGCCTGTCACTGTCAGTGATCCTCCCGTTGGGCAGATTATACTGACAATGGTCGTGTATATAAAGGATAAAGGTATATGTCATCCACAGAAGTGGACAAACTAATTTTACATTGAGTATCTTAACATTTTTTATCATTATTTTTGTAATTCAACGAGACGAATCAAAAAACAAACGAGATAATAACCTTAATCTTTGACCCACCCTGTACACATTTTTTTTTTGTTTCCACTGTTTGCATTCTTTAGGGTAAATTGCATTGTAATTGATCATCATTTTTTTTATCGATAAGGAAGACCACAAGCATATATTACTCTGATTGCCCATGAAATTTATAAAATGATTTATGATTAGCTGATACACGTAGTAGCATCATCATAATACTATTGCTAATGTCTCAAACATTTAAACTAGATGTGGAAGGGAGTAATGATAATATAATTGTTATTATTGGTATTCTACTTATTGCCATCGCCCGCAATGATCGTTATTAGATTTTTCATGTTAAGGAGTGTCCATACTGGTAAAAATTGGTGTCACATAAATTGAACGCAAGAATTTTAGATGTACACGCCATACCAGTAGAGCTGAAAAGTTTAGTTCACCTTAACTTATAGTTCAAAAGACTAGTTCGTTTATTTATTTGATAATTGATCATAAATATTAGGATTATTAGAATATAGGATTTTTTCATTCATTGAGAACTGTGTCTACAGAAAAGTCCACAGACTTCGAGACATAGGAAAATCAAGTCCATTTAGCGCTTTGAATAAGAAGACTAAGGAAGGAGCATAATGCTATTCATGTATTCATGCATGGTGGGCGGAAAAAGCACTCTAGGGTGGGGATCCTTGACAGTTCTGATTGACGGTTCATTTGACACATTTGAATTTGATTTGAAACTTTGTGGATTGG